AAAATAGGATAGGAAGAGTGGCCATAGGGTTTTTCACACAAGCCCATTTGAGCTACAGTCTACACTCCTGCAAGGGGGACTATATTGGAGATCATGCGGGGGACTATATAAAAGGTGTTATTAAGGGGGATACTCGGAGTGTAGACTATAGCTCATGTTGAAGGTTCTTCTTGCGGGGCCCTGAGCCATATGTTCTTTAGAGCACCACTCTCGCAGCAATCACAAGGGGGGTTTGAACACATAAAGTCCAAACCGCCAGGGCACAAATCTGATCAGGCTGCCTGGACGCCGGCATCAAAGCTCCCCATCCTTACAGGATTGACAAAGTATGCCTGGGCGAAATCCTTGCTTCCTGGTGCTTATCGCAAACCCTAAACCCTGTACAAGCAGCGTTCGTCCCTGAACCCTAAACCCTAGAAGCACGCCAACCCTCTACTTCGATAACGCGAATAAGTGCCCCCGATTCCCCACAGCCATTCTCTGAAAACTTTCAAGAAACCCCTAAACCCTAAACCCCTAAACCCTACACCCTGGATGCCGAAACTCCCAAGTCAAGACCTCTCAGCCATCCCAACTTCATAGACCCCTGAATCGTAATGTTAAACCCTTTAGGGTTTAGGGTTTAGGGATAGTCACCAGTATAATTTCCTATAATCCTCGTGTGGTCACAGCACGATCCAATCAAGAACCTGTAGTTACTTAAATCGGCCCCTAATTGCATTATGTGCATCACTATAGTTGATATTGAAACGTTGCGTGAACGACTCTGCAGGAGTATCCCAAGTCCCGGTGTGTAAGGTACTTCAGGTCATGCAGGGTTCTTTGTAATTATTCACGTTACCCTAAACCCTCGACCCGAAATCCTGAACCTTAAATATCCCTATGTAACCCTATATACCCTCAAATAGGCCCGTATCTTCAGATATCCCCATATGCCCCTATATAACCCTATACGTCCTTAGATATCCCGGGATCCCGCTAAACCCTAATCCCTAACCTACCCCTAATACACTCCCCCAAACTAACATGGAAACCCATATAGCCCCCCTTCAAAAGGACTGTAGTCTTTATAGGGCCCTTTTTGGGTTTCCATGTTAGTTTCCGGGAGTGTATCAATCGCACACCGGACAGGGGCCCATGGCAGTAGCAGCGTTTGCTACTCGACTGCGCGAGGCCTTCGAGGAGGCACCTCTGAGGTTTCAGAGGTTTTTAGGATTTGAGCTATAGTCTAAACTCCTTAAAGGGGGGTTATAGGGGATTATATAGGGGACAGCTATAGAGGATATTAAGGGGGATACCAGGAGTTTAGACAATGGCTCATTTAGGGTTTAGGGGGGTTCAGTGTTTTAGGATGCTGGCTTCAGGTAGATTGGGGTTTGGGGCCGGAATGCTGGGGGCTTTGTGGATTTCTCCCTAATCTCAAGAATGAAGGCCTAGTGTCTAGACCCTTGCTTCTGGGGAGGTTCCCTCAAACTAGTTAATAATTTCTGCTCATGTGTGAATGCATATAAAGAATGCATCCCCCCCCCAAAAAAAAAGTGTTTTGCGGTTTTGGTTTACGGAAGGGGGCAGGGTTGCAATAATAGACCAAGGGGTCGGGGATTAGGACCAGGTAGCGCAGCTCGTAGTATTAGTAGTACAGGTACAAGGGAATCTGTTAAGATCGGGATATTTTCGGGTGGACAATATCATTATTGTCACACCCTTATTACTGCTATTGCTGCCAATGGACCTTGTGTAGACCTTTTCGGGCTCCGAACTTGTTAAGAAGCAACCGCTATCTTCGGGATTTTTCCGACCCGGCGAGAAAGTACTATTGCCACCACCTTTACTAATGGCTTTACTACATTATCTACGATCCTGAAAAGAACTTCGGGACCTGGTAGTTTTAGAAGTTCGATCCTGCGCCTCACAAAGGGGCCCATGGCTTTGAAAACGCGATTAAGGGTTCAGGGTTTCGGGCATTGAGTAATAGGAGCCAAGTCAGGTTGGCTACGCATAACTGCGCATTGAATGAAAGGTTACTCTTGAACCCTCACTCAGCAAGAAGCCCCTTGAACTCTAAACCCTAAGCCCTAAATATCCCTAGAGCCGAAGCCCGAGACCCTAAGCCCTAAACCCCTAAACCCTAAGCCCTAAACCCCCCAAAGCCTAAACCCTAAGCCCTAAACCCCAAAGCCTAAAGCCCTAAACCCTAAACCCCCTAAGCCTTAAACCCCCAAAGCCTAAACCCCAAACCCCCTAAGCCTTAAACCCCCTAAGCCCTAAACCCCCAAAGCCTAAAGCCCTGTACTTTGACTGCGTAAAAAGCGCTTGACCCTACCTTGGCACTTGAGCTCTCAAGCCTTGGTTGCCAACATCCAAACCCCGGACTTCTTTTTTTCGTAGGGGTTTAGGGGCTTGGGGTTCAAGGTTTAGTGGTTAGGGTGTTTGGGGGTTTTACTATTGTAGAACCCACAGGAATTCTTCAACTGAACATTACTGTCATAGGTCTAGGGGCATTAGAGGATTGAATTAATCAGGCCCCAAACTTACGAGTTCTTAGCAGGGAATGCAGGAATGGAGTCCTGTAGTACCTCGTATAACCCGCAGCAATGTATTAGTATTAGTTCCATGTTCTTTTCCGTTGCCTCATTCCCTCCTGACAACCCGCAAAAAAGTGCAAAGCATGTGAAAAAGGCTGGCGTAGACGGCAACAAATGCGAGTTTGATGAGGCAGGGTTGCGGTGTAGTGTTCAGGGCTTAGGATTAAAGCCTAAACCCTGAACCCAAAACTCTGAATCCCCCAAACCTAGGCCCTAGACCCCACACCCTACATCCGACACCTTAACCCCACCCCCCGAGCTATTAAGGTTGAGGATGTCAAGTTTTGGATTTGTTGGGGTCCAGCAGCATTCTGTGTGCCCAGGTGTCCGTTGAGCAGGATAGCTGTTGCATTTGGCAGTGTCTAGACACAGGGTAGCCTGCTGAGTTTAGATTGGAGACTGCCCTCTCCTTAGAATCCCCACTGTTTCGATTGTTAATTGTAGGAATATCATACCTTGACTCAGGGTCCGACATGCCACGGTGATAGGATGGGGGCAATATCCAAGGTCTAAGAACTTTGGTTGTTCAGTGGCGGGGGGGGACCTTTAGGATGAGTAGCTGGGATTAGCACAGTTTTAGCCTAACTGCTACTTGGGTTTGGGGTTGTGGGGATAGCATTTCTGAGGCTAACCCAAGGCCCTTGACCATGATCCCTTTAGGGCCCCAACCTTTAAAAAACCGTCCTCTTTATTCCCAGGAGTGCCACAACTTCGGAGAAAAACGGAGTCTGGCAGAGTCATCGGATTAACAAACTACCTCCTGTACGGTTTAGGGTTTGGGTCGTGAGTTTTGTGGACTCTTTTACTCAACAACCCAAACCCCCAAAATTGTACCCGAGCCCAAAGCCCGAAACCCCAGAGCCTGAAAACGAGGTGTCGGGTCAGATGATCCTCCGCGGAGACGTCACGCGCGTAGTGCCTGCAGCCACCTTAGCAACATGCTCTGCGCGTGTGTATCGCAAGGTAGCGGGCCTGATGCCGAATAGAGACACACACATA